GGTCTGTGCCGATTGTTCCGATCCGTGTTTCATTCTTCGGTATTTGCAACTCTGTAATAGGTAATAGGTCAAAGTTTGTCACCATCGTAAATCCGATATCTCGATTACGGTCGTGCTCATTTTGTCTTGCAGAGTTAAAAGGAAAAACGGTGCTTCAGCTTTGAAGGAAAAAAGTGGAATGAACGTTTATTCTCTAAATACTTGCTAACGTAACACAATCGCGGGTTACTTGGTTTTCACTCCTCCCTAATCCGTGATGCCTAAGAATTGGCGTAACTTAGCTTGCTTCAAAAGGGCCATCGGTTTCGTGAATCCATCCGCAGGTTGGTTTGCTGTCGAGATGTATTCGAGCTTCACTGTTTGCTGCTCCAATGCTTCGTGTACAAAATGGTAGCGAATACTAACATGCTTTGTTCTTGGATTATACGAACCATTGTTCGCGATGCTCATTGCCGACTGATTATCGCAGTAGATTGGCATTGCTTCAACTTCTGTTAGCTCCGAACGCAGATTCTTCCACCACATCGCCTCTTGAATGGCCCTCGAAAGTGCCATGAATTCCGCCTCGCATGATGAATGGGCTACGGTTGGTTGCTTTTTCACATTCCAGGATATGGCAGCCCCTTGCATGGTGAACAAGTAACCTGTTGTCGACCAGGATCTCCTCCCCAATCGGCATCGCTATACCCTTGAAGGCCTCCAGTATCGTCCTTAGTGTACAGCAACCTTTTCTGCGCTGTTCCCTTCAGGTATCGTATTATACGCTTGGTTGCTTCCCAATGTTGTCTACCAGAGCTGGCAGAGAATTGACTCACAGCATTCACAGCGTACGCAATATCTGGTCGACTAGTTTGCGCTACATATGACAAACAGCCAACTGCTTCCTTGAAGGGCACTCTTGACATCTGTGATGCCTCCTCAGCCGTTTTGGGAGTCATCGATTTATCTAGTCTCAGACTTGGATCTGTTGGTGTTGATACAGGAGTAGCGTCCGTCATCCCAAAGCGCTGGATTATCTCTTGAATATAAGATTGTTGGTCCAACGAAAGATGTCCTTGCACTCGATCTCTGACAATTCGAATTCCCAGGCAGTGTGAAGCTTCACCCAAGTCTTTCATTTGGAACTTCTTCATCAAAAATTTCTTCACTTTCTTCTTCAACGCCAGGTTGTTAGTAAATATCAGCAGGTCATCTACGTATATAGTCACAAATAGCATAATGGCACCATCCAGGATCCAGTACAGGCACGTATCTACTTGTGATCGTTGCAGCCCGAATTCTCGCAATACGGCATCCAGTTTTCCGTTCCATACACGGCTCGACTGCTTGAGGCCGTACAGCGCTTTCTTGAGTCTGCACACCTTGCCGTTGACCTTATCGAATCCTTCCGGCTGCATCATGTACAATTCTTCATCGCCTAGCTCACACTGCAGGAACGCAGTGACCACATCCATCTGGTCCACATCAAAATCGAACTTCACTGCCACTGCCATGAGGTAGCGAATTGTTGAATAACGTACTACCGGAGAATATACATCTTCATAGTCGATTCCTGGTTTCTGCGAGCAACCCTTCACCACGAGTCTCGCTTTGTATCGCTGTATGTTGCCGTCGGGTCCACGCTTAGTTTTAAAAACCTACTTGTTACGGATTGCTTTACGTCCTTCAGGTAGATCGGTTAACATCCACGTCTGGTCTGATTCTGGTCCAACGATGCAATTTCTTCATTCATCGCTTCACAGCTTTCGATCAGGTCGCCGCATGACCTCGTCGTAGGATTGTGGATCGTTCTCCATGGAAACATCGATCGTTGATGAATCAGATGGCTGGGTGAAAAAATCATCACCAGAAAAGGAACCATAACTAACAAAATCATCATACTTGCCTAGATATACGCGCTCCCGACCGCTGCGCCTCAACCCTTGTTGACTTTCTTCAACTGGTCTTGTTTGTTGCGGTGAGAGCGCAGGTTCGTTGCAGGCATCTTCGAAATCGTCACAAGATGTGCTTGAGCTGCTGTTCGCTGATTCTTCTTCGTCGTCAGAGCTGACTTCGTTCTCATCAGAACATTCTATAGGCACTACGACTTCTTCTGTGAACAGTTCCATGAACTCGACTGACTTCGAATCATGTTCACAAGCTGCAACGGACTTTGGAATGCTTTCGCTGATCACGATTACATCTCGACTGATTATGAAATCGTTTCGCTCCGGATCGTATACACGATAGCCCTTGGTATCTTCGCAATATCCAATAAACACGCCTTTCTCCGCCTTTGGATCGAACTTTTTACGCTTCATCTTCGGAACATGAACCATCACGCTTGAACCGGAAAACTCGTAAATGCTTCAAGCTTGGCTTTTTCCCTGTCCATACTTCTTCAGGAGTCTTCCCTCCGATGGACATAGCAGGAGAGCGATTCACCAAGTATGCTGCCGTTGATACCGCTTCTGCCCAAAATTCCTTCTTTAGTCGTGCATCGTTTAGTAGACAGCGAGCCTTCTCCACCAATGTGCGGTTCATCCTTTCCGCCGTACCGTTTTGCTCCGGTGTATGAGGACAGGTCTTCTGATGACGTATACCATCGTCCTCCAAAGCTCGTCGAAATTTATCGCTTAGGTATTCCCGTCCATTGTCGGTTCGAAGAATCTTGATTTTCTTACCCGTCTGTCGCTCAGCCTTTGCTTGAAACAATTTGAACGCCTTAAACGCTTGATTCTTTGTTTGCAGGAAATAGACAACAACTCGCTTGCTTGCTTCGTCCACAAACGTAATGAAATAACGATTGCCACCCAATGACGGAACCCCTACCGGCCCACACAGGTCGGAATGTACAAGCTGCAGAACCTTTGATGTTTTTGTTTTACTTCTCTGGAACGGTAGTCGAGCTTGTTTGAAAAATTAACATCCTCGTTCGATTGCTTGAGCTGCTTCAAACTAGCCTCGTTCAAGTGACCCAATCGTCGATGCCACAACTCAATGTCATTGGTAAGAAATGACCGTTCCGATTCTACCACTCGGTACAATCCACCTTCTTCGACTCCATGGATTATCAATTCACCATCATCATCTAGCACCTCGCACTTGTCTGCCGAGAAAATAACTTTATGACCTCGTTTGCACATCGTACTTACTGACAGCAGGTTTGTTGCTAAGTCCGGGATCTTCAGAACATCATGAACATCAATGGAGTCGTCCCGCTTCTGCAGAACCACGGTACCTCTTGCCACGGCCTTCATAGAACCATTGTTTGCTGTTCCAACGTCGTGTTCAATTGCCATCTCTTCAACAAATTTCTGACTTCGTTGAGCCATGTGGCACGTCGCTCCCTAATCAATATACCACGCCTTGCTCTTGACATTACCCATCGCAAAAATGCTGCAGAGCCCTTTCGGGTTTTGCTTCATCTTTTCGGGACATCTGGAAGCAAAATGACCAAGCTTACCACAATTGAAGCACGTCTTCTCAGCTTTCTCAGCCTTCGTCTTCTTATATTGGTTCTTAGCTTTGCCTGGGTTCGTCCCACGCGAGTACAGTGCTCCATTGTCGCTGCATGTAATGGGACCCTTTTCGAGCTTGACGTCTTGCAAAACCTTGGCTTTAACCGAATCCGATGACAATTTTGCTCCAGACGGCTCCAATCCCATGATCATCGGCTCGTAATATTCTGGCAATCCCATCAGGAGCAACGCGACTAACCACGAATCATCCACCTTGAAAACCAATTGTCGAAAGCTTGTGGCTGGTAGACATCAGCTCGTTGACGTAGCTTTCAACGCTTGAACAATTGACCAGCCGGATCGAAGTAAGCTTACGTAAGAGACCAATCTTCCTTGTCAAACCAGAGTCTTGAAAGGCTTCGGCAAGTTTCTTCCAAGCAGCTGCTGCGTCCTCTGCATCCTGAACCAGACTATAATTGTAGCTTTCTAGGCTCAGGCAAATCGTTGCCAACGCTCTTAGCTTGACGTCCGCTGCAACGACTTCTCGCGTAACATTTGAAAAGGGCCTATGATCAAAATGTAAACAAACCGATTTTTGATACCATTCTGTAGCACTGGTAATTAGCTACCAGTCGTATAGGAATGTTCCGCATTATCGATAAAAATCATTAAAAATAACTTGATTTTCAAAACGGCCGATCCACGAAATTTTTCCAATCATTCATGCTAAAACGGCCTAACCTCGGGCCTAACATATATTTTTTTTTCATTCGATGAGGTTCCATTCATAAGCCTAGCGACGTAGAAGGGCCGATGATTGAAAAATTTCAAATCAAAGCTAAGCCCTACTGCTTGAGGCAGGGCCGATGATTTATTTGACGTTAAGAAAAGGCTTAGCAAAGGGCCTACAATTTATGATGACAAGCACAACGGCTTAACAAAAAGGGCCTAACCATTTAAAGATTCACAAAAAGGCTTATTACTGTGATATTAATTTTTTATCGATTTTCATGTATTTTTGAAAACGTTTCGCATGTTTTGGATGTTGTGTACTGAGATATAGTTACTATTGTTATTGTGAACAATATAAATGCCTAAAATACTTCAATTTATTTATATAGGAATTAAATACTGGCGGAAAAATTTACAATTCATTTTCTGGATTGTTTACATTTCGGACATAGGCCCTTTTCAAATGTTACGCGAGACTTCTCCTCCAGCAGGCTGAACAGCACTCCAACTTCCTTCGCGGATCAGGATCATCCGGATCGCAAATGCCCAAGTCGAATAATTTTCACGACCCTTCAACTTCTCTATAGCCGGCATAGCTACGGAACCCGTCGTAACTCGAACGCTTCCTGCTTCAGTTCGACTTCCGATTCTGCTGCTATCGCTGCTACCTCCAGTTGACATCTTGAAAACATAATTTATTCTTTTCTTCCGGTTAGGTTCTGGGCCCATAACCTCTTGAAGAGTTAAGGAAAAACGGTGCTTCAGGTTTGAAGGAACAACGTTTATTCTCTAAATACTTGCTAACGTAACACAATCGCGGGTTACTTGGTTTTCATTTTGGTTCTCACTAGTTCCTACCCCTAACAACATCATCAAATAAACTAGATGTTCTCGATACAACACCACTTAATACATTACATTATTCCATTTGAGACACAGATATCGCCTGTCCTGCCTAGGCCACGGAATTTCTTTCGAATAACAACACGCGTCACGCTGTCACGCTTCAAAAAATCTACTTAATAACCTTCTCTCCTGACCACAGCCTCTTCGGCCATTGACATTAATCAGTCGAATAAATATTGAATAAAATTAGTAAATCTGCGTTTACCATTTAAAATATTTCGTTCATAGCGATCACATCACTTTTAGGAGAAAAAAAAATTGGAATGCACAAAAACACGCACACAGAACCACCAGCTTCTTACCTGCTCAGAACTCCCCGTGCTGGCTGCGCTGCGATCCGAATCCAAAGTCCACCAGACTCCTCTTGATGGCCACATCGAAGCAGTCCCTCCAGAGCGCAATTTGCAGCTCGTCCAAATTATCACAGAAGCTCAGGTCCAGCAGTTTCAACTTCCGGCAGCGGCACAGCAACCGATAGCACATCTCCGTGGATATGCCCATGATGCCCATCAGGTCCAGCTGTTCCAGATTCTCGCAGCTGTTGGCAATCACCTCCAGGTCCCGATCGGTAAGGCCTCGGATGGCTGCCAGGAACAGTTTCTTCAGGCCTGGGCAACTTTTGACCAACAGGCGAACGGATTCGCCCGGGGAAGGTTCCTCCCGGAGGCACCAGCCAAAGTCAACCTCTTCCAGGAAAGTACACTTGCTGAGGGCTTCCAGCCCGAGCGATGTTAGTGAGTGGGATTTCCACATATCGAGCGAGATCAGTTGGCGGTTGTACTTGGAGATTTGCAGGGCAATGTCGTCCATGTTGACGTCCAGGGAACAAAAGGCGAGGTTAAGATGGCGCAGATGTTCGTTGCGGGCAAGGACTATCAGGAGCGATTGGGTGTTGATGGTGGTACGATTCAGGTCCAGGCGTTCCAGATTGCGGAAGTAGTACAGCCCGGAGAAGTCTTCCACTTCGGGGTGGTAGTTTTGGAGGGTCAGTTCCCGGAGATTTTCGAAACAGTGGGAACCGATGGCCTCCAGGCAGTTATTGGCGCCGAGGAACTTACAAGAGTCCAGGCGCAGGTGGGTTAGACTGCGATCGCAACCGGATAGAAAGCTGTTATAAAAAATAATCATCATTAGCATTTTACGGAAGATGCTGAGGTGAATTGAATCTTACTCTTTGAAATCGGTGGACGTGAGTTTGTTGAACATGCCGCACCATGATAGGTCCAGCTTTTTGGTGTAGGCACAACGCTTCTTCAACGACTGCAGCAGTGCCGACGAGACGCAGTTCCAGTACGGTTTGAGATTGACCTCTGAGTAGAGCAGCGAATTCACGGTTACGATCTGATTGAACGTCCGGCAGACCCTTCCGCAGCGATACATTGACCTCAAGTCCAGGAAGGACATGATTTTGAACAGTACCTCGTAGGGCAAATGATCCAACGTCAGTTCGTCTACGGAAGTGCTTTGATCGGTGGGCGTCTCGCTTCTACTATCGCTTCCTGACTGGTTTTCGTTCCTCGCAGCAATAGTTCTGTCTTCCTGCTGTTGGCTAAATTCCTGAACAAACTCATCCAACCCCGTTCGCAGAAATTCCTGGAGGATTGCTTCGCGATCCGCTGACACAACCGGGCGGAACTTTTCCAGCTCCAACTTTTTCAGAATGGGTCCCTTCTCTACCAGCAGACTCAACGGATGCTTTCCCTTCAAATTTCCGGAAGGCACAAACTTCTGCCCGACTAGCAGAACCGCATCCAACTGGGTGGAGTATTGCAGGCGGATATGATTGAATTCCAACCGGATATAGCGGGTTGGATCGAGGCAGGCTTTTAGCCGAGGGCAAAACACCCGTGCCTTGTTCCGCTCGACAGGGGAGCCACTGTCATCTGCTTCGCAGATGTCCCACAGACAAACCCACTGTTCCGTCAAAGTATAAGCCCAAATGCGCACTATCCCTCCTGGATTGTACGTCTCAAAGATCTTGATCATCTCCGGACAAACAGGTTCTTCGAACCGGAGCAAAATGTAGTCGTCCACCGGAGATGCGTCGGTGAAGTTCTGGGGACTGAATTCCGTTCGAGCCGACGGAGCCAACTTCCACCAGGGACCGTAAGTTCGCTGAAATTCAAGAGACTAGTTTATTTAATCCGCCTTCTAGCAATAATGTCGCACTACTTACAAAAGCAAACGTCTCTGGAAAGTCCCCATAATCCGGATACTTGGACGGTTTCCCAGTAACGTTGAAAGCCGTGTACGATATGCTCGTATCACTCCCGTACTGGGAACTGAAATCCACCACATCCTGGACGTACTGTTTGATCGTGACCAGTTTGCCCATATTCCCGACCGGTTCCTGCTGACCTCCACTAAGCTGAAAGAACACATCCTCCTCCGTGTCGTCTTCCGTGGTGTATTCCGCATAGCTGCTCGATTCGTCTCCGTCCGAAGAAACCAACGAATAATCGCTCAGCATTGTTCCACTCCGAGTCTGGCACTCTGCTGGTGCTACTTCCTTATGGGTTACAGTAACAGAGAATCGATCGATCCCCACCAGGAAGCCTTCCACTAATTGGATTTGGGCCGCTAATAATAGTTTCCCCTTATACTAATCTTTATTGGCACTGGAAAATTGCATCATCCTTCGCCCAAACTCGGCTAAAACTAACTAAAATTTCCTTTAGCACTACACGTAAAATTTAGAAATGACTACGCAAAACAACGAAAGTTAGCTGTTCTTTCCTTAACTGAATGCAAACAATGGCGAATGCACTTTTCCTCTGACTGATTTATCAGTGACCCGCTGCGATGCAGAAAGCAAAATAACAACAAAAACATTCACTCACACATGTAGAAATCTACACGGCCAATGAGAATAACTCAGCAGAGATCTACTTCTACTCTGGGACCGTGGCATTTTGAGATGAGCGCGAGGTTAGCTCCATGGTGGGTATATAAATGATATAAATGGTGATACAGCTTTGTCACTATATAGGCGAGGAGGTCGTGGGGGGGAAAAGTGCGGTTTTAGTGCAAATTGTAAACAAACTCGGTCGCTGTCCCATACAAAAATCCAACATGGCTGAATCATGAATTTGACACATTAGAACACCTATATGTAGTTGCCTTGGTTAGCTCGAAAGCACGCAGCTATCGATAAAGAAGTTTTTCAATCAACTGTGGCTTTCCAATTTTTTTTCGCCGTGTGTGTTAAGCAGCACAGTGCGATCGGGAATTTTTTTATTGGACAAAAAATGAAGATACTGTGGGTCTTGTCGTGGTGGCGGACTTCCCGCATAAACGCGAACCATAAATTGACCTTACCTAAAATGGTTAAAGTTGTTTATAATCCCTGCTAAACTTTAACTGAAATGGTTATGGAACTTTACATGAACGTTTAATGATAAAGTTTCAACCTTATGTATTATGGTTTTTTGGAACTGGACCTTACAAATAATGGGTTGTTAAGAACCATTACCATTCCAAATTCTTGTTTTCTCCATGCATTTTCAGAAAGAGAACTATATAAGAACGTTTTTACTTATGATTTGAGAACATTAATGGTTATGGTTATGGTAGTCAGTAAGGTCCATTAATGGTTTTGTATTATCACTCAACTTTACGTGAAATATATCGTGAATTGGTAATCAGTAATTTACAGGCAACCAATTCGCGATATATTCCACATAAAGTTGATCGATGTTACAGAAACATTCGTGGACCTTACTGACTACCATAACCATTACCATTAAAGTTCTCAAACCATAAGTTAAAAGGTTCTAATATAGTTCTCTTTCCGAAAATGTATGGAGAAAACAAGAATTTGGAATGGTAATGGTTCTTAACAACCCATTATTTGTAAGGTCCAGTTCCAAAAAACCATTTTACATAAGGTTGAAACTTTATCATTAAACGTTCATGTAAAGTTCCATAACCATTTCAGTTAAAGTTTAGCAGGGATTATAAACAATTTTTAATCATTTTAGGTAAGGTCAATTTATGGTTCGAGTTTATGTGGGTTGGCCACGATCCTCAATATGCCGTATCTGGGAGCAGGGTTGAAAAAATCATCAGCAGTCACTATGAAATGAATGTTTCATCCATAGTGAACTGCACATAAAATTGACGAGTGCACGGATGGATTTGAGTTCACTCACTCGACAAAAAGTGACACAACAGCGGGGCCCTGTTTACTAAAAATGAACACATATGTGTTCATTTTTAGTAAACAGGGCCCCGCTGTTGTGTCACTTTTTGTCGAGTGAGTGAACTCAAATCCATCCGTGCACTCGTCAATGCTGTACACCGCATTCTTTTAAAAATTTCTGTACGTCAAAACAAATTAAATTGACCCTTTTTCGGTTGTCTTCATTTTCAGCTAAGTTGAGTGTAGAAGGAATGATTTTTATCAGCACTGATAGCGATCTGGGACGGGACTTGACAATCGAGTAGCAATTTCGAGCCAATTTGCTGTCAAATCCGAGCCAGTTGCTGATAGGTCGATTCGACAGTAGCAATCAAAAAGGACAGAGGGATCACATCAATCTGACTGGCACTGATGCCGGAGTCAATGTCGTTGTTAATTTTTAATATTTGCGAAAGTAAAGTTGGAAAATAGGGTCCACGGCGTGCTTTAAGCGATGGATATTCTTGTTTGTTTATGGTTGTTTTCATTATTGTGTTAAGCAAATATGATGTACAAGGTGCTAAACTGCGGTAGAAACTCCGAATCAAATTCCAATTAAACCAGAAAAAACATTCTGCAATCCTGGCACCATTGGTCAACTCCGTCAAACACCATGCACTAATTTTCGACGGGCATTCATCAAAAACATTAAGAAGAGTGAGAAGCTGGATTGTCAAGTCCCGTCCCGGATAACGATGACTATAGATATTAGTGACGTTTAACGTACGCACACTCGCGGGTGGACCGCGGTGTAAAGTTATTTATTATTTTCCTCTGAATAAACTAAAAAATGTATGAAATTAGATCTGTCAAAATGAGTTTGACGGCGATTTGTTATGTATTTTCCTCGGATATTCACTAACACGCTCTCATATATCGTACCAATACAACTGGACGTGAAAATCTCTATAGAGATTGCAAAAGTATGATTGTGTCAGTGATTTGTGTTCATCGCGAAAATTTTCCGCTATGAAGTTTTTTTAAGTATAGACCTTTTCGACGTTTAATAATCTTTCTCTATCTAGCACACATGGATGAATGAACGCTTTGTTTTGCGACTAATCTGTTTCCCTCTTGCTCGCACTCGTTCGATTTAAATGGTGCAGTAGTGTGCGCCGATTAAACGTCAAAAAGCTCTATACGTATATGTATACTTGACGTAGTGTGCATACGATAAACGTCAGCAATCTCTATGTTGCACCTCGTGTGTCAGCTCAGATCAGTAAATGACATTCGGTAGAATTACAGTGAACTCTCTACAACTCGATTTTGAAGGGAACATCGAGTTATAGAATAACAATCCCATAAAAAATCGCTATCACAGTAGCCATGAAATTCATTTTTACTACTGTTCTATAACTCGATATCGATTTAGTGGACATCGAGTTGTAGAGAGTTGACTCGTATTTTTTTTTTATTGTTCGTATTTTAACTGAGGTCCGGTTGCTTCTCGTATCATATATTTGAGAAGGACATGATCTGATTACAAAACAACCGTCATTCGGTTGCAGCTATCATTCAAAGAAGCGATTTCGATGTTTCGATTTGAATTGTTTGTAGTTTCATTCGAACATAGGATGATGTTTTGGCGAGTGTTTTGGTACAGTGTGTCCGAATAAATCACCGGAAAGCGATAGAATGAAACTTCCACTTCCGACGAATTTGACGGGCACAAGTTAACGTAACACGTTGTCTTTCATCCAAACAATAAGTAAATTTGATTTAACCTAAATATAGGGGCTTATTACGGATGTCACTTCACGGTGAAAACTTGTCACTTGTCATCACGGTGAAGTGATTTCCATTTGATTTGTACGGCAATCACGGCTCTTATTTTGAGTATCACTTCCATATCACCGTATAGTGACACCTGCAATAAGGCCCCTGATATTGATTTAACCTAAGATTTCAATTTGAATTTCTTTAGCCGTTGCTACATTTTGGTTTCAAAAAAAATTGTTTCTGGATTAAAACAACCAAAATGTTAGCAACTTAAATTATTTCTGAAACTCAATTAATGAGACCCCAACAAAAAAAGTAGTTTCTTTGAAACAAATTTTACGGATTTAAAACAACCAATATTCACTTCAAGGGGTTGGTCACTCCGCACAGTGTGCCAAAAACACAGTTGGGCACACACGGATACGAATTTTGTTCATTTAAATCCGTGAAACCCCGCCCGTCTGATCACTTTCTTGCACCGGTGATTTCATCATTCATTAGCAAAGAAAATTGCATCAACGGTATTGGAAATTTTTTCCCAGTACACTGGAGTCGCTTTTTACGCGGTTTTTTTTTACACGGTTTTTTTTTACGCGGTTTTTTTTTACGCGGATTTCGGAATTTACGCGGTTTTTTTTTACGCGGATTCCGGAATTTACGCGGTTTTTTTTTACGCGGATTTTGGTTTTTTTTTACGCGGATTTCAGAATTTACGCGGTATATCGCTTTTTACGCGTTTTTTTCTTACACGGTCTTTTTTTACTCGGTTTTTTTTTACGCGGATTTCGGAATTTACGCGGTTTTTTTTTACGCGGATTCCGGAATTTACGCGGTTTTTTTTTACGCGGTTTTTTTTTACGCGGGACATATCACCCGCGTAAAAAGCGACTCCAGTGTATCTGTGTTATCCTCGAGTGAGGATATTAAAAACTAATGGGCAGCAGAGTAAAAGTAAAACGCGTGTGTTATCTTGAACGGTTAAATCAAAAGTGAAAAAAATATTTTTCCTTTGTAGTAGTAACAGCATAGAGGTAACTCTAACACTAGTAGGTCCAGAAGAAACGTGCTCAACTTTTTGGCTCAGCTCTGGTACTATCTTCGGTCCCAAGCTAATCGATGCACCCCTCGAAACATAGGAAAATCCACGAACCCCTTATTTTATCTGTCAAACTTTCATAGATAATCAAAACAAACATAGTGTAGTACTAGAATTTCAACTAGAATGGGTACTAGAAATGGGTACGTTAGGATTTTATCAAGTAGACAACATGATATGAGCTATATCAAGAACTTTTTTTTAACTAGTTCGTTTATTTGCTAGGCTCAGTCGTGTGTGACACTTTTCGAAACCAACATCAGTAGCAGTAGTTCTAGGTTAGTATTGGGTACCAATTACTCGTGGCGGGCTCGAGGTTAATGGGTAACAATTTTGATTGGAAGAAGCTAGGTAGGAAACTGGTTTCTGAAGCCTCCTTCAGATACTACTCTCGGGCGGTTGACCAAATCCTGGCTGGGCAGGGGCAAGTAGCACAGGAACAGGAGGATAATAAGACTGGGACACAATGGCGGGAAATTGTTTGGAAAGGAGGGGATTGTCACATCAAACTCTAACATCAGACAAACAAATGAATTCGTAGATCGCTAGCATGTAGAGTAGATCACGTGTTCCCAATACATCTCTTACTTCACGGACGGGTTGTCTACCTCGGGCCACTAGGGTATCCAATAGTCGTCCTCTGGAGGCGTCATTACCCGGGCAATACCAAACTGCGTGATCGATGTCATCATAACCGGTTCTGCACCCACTTATATTGCTGTCAACGAGGTTTATTCTTTAGAGATGTGCGTCTAGCGAGTAGTGGTTGGACATAAGTCTTGACA